TAAAATGAATCACTGCACAGAAAGTCAAAATTCTAGTAATGTCTGCCGTTCTTGGATTACAAAAGCAGCAAGTATTCAATGATAAAAATTTAAGAACAGACAAGTAGGAAGAAAAAATTCTGTAATGTTACTGATTTAACGTCTTGAATTTTTAAGATGTGCTCATGCAAAATGTTTTGAAAAATTTAGATTTTAGCTATGAAATTTAGTATATGGATTTTTTAAAACTTGACATTAGTTTGAGAGAACTTCTCTATGAGATTAGTCTTACCTAGCAGCATGGTGTTACCACTGGGTATACTGTGATTTATTTAGCCACTATCTACATTGTATGTTTCACATTACTTCTGATAAATATGCATTTACATGTTTATTTAAGATGTAAGTCTGTGAGTTGAGTACCCCTTACCTGAAATGCCTGGGACCGGAAGTGTTTTGAAGTTTGGGTTTTTCAGACTTTAGGATATTTGCGTATATGTAGTAAGATATTTTGGGGATGGAATCAAGTCTAAGCATGAAATTCATTTATGTTTCATGGACACTTAATACCTATAGACTGAAGGTAATTCTATGTTCTTTTTTAATAACTTTGTTCATGAAACAAAATTTGATGATGCAGAATTTTCTACACTGCCTCTCAAAATGTTTCAGAATCTGAAGCATTTCAGAGTCAGATTAGGGACCCTCCACCTATGGAAAGATGATTGAATCAATGATATTTATGAGGCTTTTGCCATTTGCTTTTCAGAAAATTAGCTTGCAGCCCTAGCAATAGAAGAAAATTCCCAGATTTTTCTGTTTCAGCATTTTTAAAAAGTCACACTTCAATGACCATCTCCATCTCAAATTAGGTGGAACCAAAAAGATAGGGATTTAAAGAGAATTTGATAGCGTTAATGCACATTTTGCAAGGAGTGAGATTTTGCTTAAGTTTTTAAATTTCCCATAATTTTCTACATACATTGTGTTTTTCTGGGCACGGGGTAGTGGCGGTTGATTAATGCCTTAGGCTGGGCTGTCACCATCCTAACTTGGGAAGTCTCACCTCCCCTTAGGTAGAAATGGTGACACACCTGGTCCTTCTCATCACTTTAGCAACAGGCAGGTTCCGTTTGGGAATTTGAACTTAGTGTGTGGCAGGTCCAGGTTCCGTGGCTAGGAAGGTTAATGCTTTCCCTCTGCAAGTGCTGACAGCCCTCACATCAGGGAGAGGGAGATTCTGGATGCTCTCTTGTGTTGCTAAGAGGAAACACCAGTAACTTAAGCTGGCGCTGCGAGGATCCACCTGCATGGCCCAGTCCTGCCCCGAGACTGAAGTAGTCACACGGTGTGACAGATCCCAGGAGCCGTGTGCTGGTCTATGGAAGTGGACCGGTTCTCCTTAGAGAGGACTGCAGTGGACACCGTGTGGCATGCAGCGCGTGGTCTGCTTGAGTGGTGGCTGTGGATACCGGGGCTGGAGAGGGTGTGTGTCCCGCACTGTCTGGTGGCGTACTGCTGTTAGGGGTGTCTTTGAAGTGCTCGGCAGGTCTGGTTGGCAGTGGTCACAGAGAGCTGGCTGCACCCCTAGGTTTGCTTTTCTGTAACTGAAGTTTAGTTTGGTATTTCCGTGGCAGTCTGGGTCTTTGTTAAAGGTACCGGCTATATTCCATGGGTAAAAGCTTAGATACAGGTATGATGTAGCCTTGTAAAGACTCTTTTTGGTTGTCTGTATCAGGTACAGAGCATTGATTGGCATAGATTTTTTTAAAGCACTTAATATGTTTGGGAGGTTTTATGTAATAGAATATTGATGGCTTGATTTGAAGAGGAACTGATGATATTCCAGACCACGTGTAAACAGGCCATGCTTGTTTGGAGGCTGAGTTTAGCAGACCGTGCTTTGGTCTGGGGCAGCATCCAGGGACCCGGCTAGGATCAGCCGGCAGCGGTGCTGTCCCTGCTAAGGCTCCCGAGAAGGAAGAGGAGGGGAGAGATTTGTTTGAGCCTCAGACCGGAGTGCAGCAGCCCACAGAGAGGAGCTGGAAGGGTGTCTGAACGGGAAGAGCAGAGTGGATTCTGTTTTACGGAAGCCGGTTCTACAGCTGTTTGCAGCAGCCTATGACTCGCGTGGGCCCGCCCACGCTTCCTTCTGGTGCTCCAGCCACGCCCGCTCCGCGTAGCTGCTGCTCCCCTCGGGCTGGGCAGAAGGACAGCCCCGTGCACAGGTGTTTGTTGCCCAGACCTGGGTTTCTGTGTCGGAGTCTGCACCTTTTCCCCGGCTTTGTGCAGGTCCAGCCTATGGGTGTGTGTGTGTGTGTGTGTGTGTGTGTGTGTGTGTGTGTGTGTCGCAGGCTACCTCAGAACGGTCTGTTTAGTGGCGTTTGCTGTTTTCAGAGATGTCATTTTAGCCACGCAGCTGTTAAAACTGACCAGAAGTGAAGCAGTGCGTGAGGAAGTGTTCATAGGGAAGGAGGGGAGACTGTGGAAGTGCATCACGGTGCCCTGAAATCGAGAAGGCTGAGGCAAGGGTCTCCCGAGACTGGTGGGAAGTCACCCTTGATGGGGTTGGAAATCACCTGTGATTCCTCGTTGTGCTTCTCCGCATCTCAGAGTCTCTGAAGTGAACTGGTGTGGCTTGTCCAGGTTTGTTTTGGTACTAGACATTAAAGCCAGGGCCTCAGCACTGAGCTAATCCTCAGTCCCTTTTTGCTTCCCACCTTGAGCTGGCATCTTTCTCAGTTTTCCTTGCTGAGCTTGCACTGGTGGCCCTCCTGTCTCAGTTTCCTAGAGTGCTGGGGTTACAGAGCGCCACCATGCCCTGCCCCGTTTATGTGTTAGAAGTACAGCACAGTACCTCCTTACACCCTGACATCAGCCTCCCTGCCCTGTGCATGATCTTGTTTTTGTAAAAAAAAAAAATGTATCTGGCATATGCTATAGGTAGAAAATAATCGGGAAGGCCGTGTACCAGAATGTTAGCAGATGCCATTATGGATGAACGGATAATGGAGTGGTTTAAAAAAAAAGTGCACTTTATATTTTTTAACTAGCCTATATTTTTTGGTTATTTTTTTTCTAAATTAAACATTTTCTTTCATAATTGAAACAAAAACAGTAAAGCAAGGAAAGTGATATGGCAAGTGAAGTAAAGCAGGATATAAAATGTATAGAATGATGACTTTGGAAACAAAGGAAACTATATATAAATATTTATAATTTGACTACCAGAATGTTAATAGTGCCGATTTTCAGTGCTAGGACTCTAGGTACCTTTTTGTTCTATTTCCATTCTGCACTTTCCAGATTTTCTCTTGAGAATATATTTCTTTGATGGTAAAAAATATATATATATATATAAAGGAGCATTCAGGTTTTTTCAAAGGGTAAATTTAATAAATAGCAAATACTTAGGATTTTGAGATCTTTTATTAAAAAGTATCAGTTTGATGCTCTGATGCATTAGTTCCCATATCTCAACATTTTATAGCCCTTTTTTCTTTGTTTCTTTTTTTCAGGGGTATTGGGAACCCAACTCAAGACCTCATGCTTGCCAGGCATACACTAATACCACTGAGCTAAATTCCTGGCCCCTATAGCCCTTATTTTCTGAAGTTTTACAGAATTTTTATGAACATGAGAGGTACTAACTTAGTGAATGCTTTTCCTGTCATTTTTTAGTACATGTGTGCAATGCGTAATGATTCCTTTTGTCTTGGGAGCCTGTCCCTGAGACATCTTCTTTGTCTGTCCCCTACCCCTCTGTCCCTCCTGGTGCCTTCTAACTCTTGGTCCCCTTGAAGCAGGGTAAATGATGAGGAGGATTTCCACTTGGGATGCAGGAGTCCCGTCCTTAGACCCCTGGTAGTCATCATGCTGGTCCAGGGCTTCCTGGAGGGTTCCTTGGCCAGCGTTCCTGATCTGGAAGGTCCACCTCTGTTAACTCGCTGTTCTTCCCCATGGCTGTTCCTGTCACCTCTGCCTGTGAGCTGAAATTTGAAACCATTCATTAAGGCCTTTGGAACCAGCACCCCAGTCTACCATGCTGCCTGCTACAAGGTTGCATGAAGCAAGGGCTGATGGGAGGAGCGTCAGGTGAAGCTTCAGGTGGCACCTAGGGTCACCTGTCAGCAGCTGTGGGTGGCAGCACTGTCCTCCCCCTGGCCCAAGGCCTGAGTCCCTGTCTTTCCTCCTTGCAGCCTTCCTGCCTATCCCTGTCCTCTCACATTCCTTTGCTCTCCCATTGGTGCTGTAGCATTGGTGCGAGCGGCTGGCTCCCCTGACAGCCTGTTGCTCCTGCAGCCGTCGGTGTCGCAGGAGGCCCCGCATGACCCCATCAGACTTCCCTTGCCACACAACAGATGAGGATATACATGATCTGTCCCCATTCTCCTTGTTCATTGTCAGCTTTACTTTTTCTGGGAAGGGTAGGCCTCCAATGTACACATTTTTGTGTTTTTCCTGATGCTGGCATCGGAATTGATTTCTGCTTGCAGGATGGAGGAATGTCTCGGAATGGTTGCCCCCATTAGGTGCTGCTGCGGGAGTTTCATGAGCATTTTGGGTTCCTGGAGACTTGCGGGGGGCCCTTCAAAGGCAGGCTGAATATGTGTGGGGCTTACCAGGCAGGTAGAGCCTCACCGCTGACCCCCCCTCCACGCGTGCTCACTGTTGGTGGAGTCAGGGATGGGGGGACCCTGTCACTGGGAGCACCTGCAGCGTGGCGGAGGCATTACTGTTCATCATTGTCTGTCCCTTGCGTGGAGTAATCTTTCTGACTTGCCTCCTTGGAGAAATCCGTATGCGTGTTCCTCCAAAATTACTATTTCCTAGCAGTTTCTTACCAGAGTGACAAGTCACTGTGGGCAGAGAGAGGCACGGAAGACTGGGGAGACCCGGTTATGGAAGACAGATTTTGCCGTTTTTAAACAGTTGTCCGAATTGAGCCAAGGGTGCATGTGTTAACTTTAAGCAAAGTTAAACAGAGCTAAACTAAATCTCCTCTCCGTATTTTCTTCTAGGAGAAAGAGGCAGCTAGCAAGCACCAGTGGTAACGAGGACCTCGCTGCCCACGGCGCGCAGGGTACGTCTCAGGCCTTTCTCCCACGCACCTGCACCTACAGGGCTGCAGTGTTGGGGTGCTCTCAGGCCCTGGGAGGGCTCAGAGATCCAAACACGATTTCTTTCTCTCGGATTTAAAATGCACTCAATAGTAGAGTTAGACCATGGCTTGGGATTGAGAAGATGTCCTTATTCCGAATACTCCCCCACCTTCAGTTAGGCATGATGTCTTGTTTTTAGGTGTGGAATTTAATTAGTTTCCATCTCTGAAAAGGGGGTGCTTGTCCAAAAGTAACTTCTTGATGGAGTAACTAATCATTACAGTATTTAATCCTTCTGGGCCAGGACGCTGTACTGAAGACCTCCTAGTCTTTTCTGTGGGTGCACCAGTCAGAACTTCATTGCATTTTGCCAGTTTGTCAGCGCAGGGCTGGGAAGAGAAAGCAAGGTGTTTAATGGTGATTATTCCCGGGGCATGTGACTCCCTGAAAAAAAGACCTTTTGCTTTTTCATTTATTATTGTCGTAATTATGTAATTTAATTTTTAAGAGTCCCTAGATTCAGATACCAAACCTGATTGCCACGCCACTTTCCTGACACATCTAAGCTGACTGATAGAGGAGGGCAGCGGTTACGTCGGGGGTGGGCAGCCCGCAGGGTCTCAGAGCCGGTGACCGCTACAGAGCCATGCAGTGGACACGGACACACTTGGTGAGATTTAATAATTGGAGCCGAGGAATTAAAGATAGTCTTCTGCCACCTTCAGTGAGCCTACAGTTTTTATTTTTGACAAGCAAACACGCCTAAATTAAAGTTTCTTTTGGGAAACTGCTGTCCAAATATAGCAGTCTTGCAATTTAGATTGTCTCGTTAATCATGTTGCTGAAATTATTAGCTTAGATGGTGGGAATAATAGAATCTACAGGAGATTTGCTTTTCTTCCCTAACATCTATACATCCTCCTGGCTTCTTATTTTAAAAATCCTAACGGGAACAGGACTCATAATCTGGTTTTGGTCAGTCCGAGGTACGTTGGCTGCTGATCGAGCCTGGGTCTGCTTCAGCTCTTTGCTCCTCAGCTGTGTCGCGCAGGCCAGGTCACCATGCAGGCCAGGTCACCTCACAGGCCAGGTCACCGTGCATCCCCTCCCCTCCCGACAGGGCTCGTCCTCCTTGCTGAGGGCGCTCGTGCGGATCCAGGGTGTGGAATGGACTCAGCGTGTGCTTGGTGTGCCCATTAAGGGACGTGTGCTTCTGACGTGATTCCTAAGCTAGGAAGAGCTTACTGGTGAACGTCTCACCCCTGACGTTTTAAACTCAGACAGGTTTTGTGAAGCAGCCCAGATACACAGTCAGGTCATCACTGAAGTGCTGAGCACACAAGAGTGGCGTCTGCCTGTCTTGCAGTCAGCGTGTGAGCTCCTACCCCCTGCTGTCCCAGGGTCCATGCTGCTTGGAGCAAGAGGTGATCACAGAGTGTGGGTTAGGGTGTTCCTCCCACGTTCTGCCTCCCTTTGGTCTCTGGTGTCCCAGGCGAGTCTGTTTGTCTGTCTGTCTGTCTGTCTGAGGGGAGGAGCTCTGACCTCAGGGCTGCCGGGAACTCAAGATGCAGTCCAGGCCCACGCACTTGCTTCACTGCCGGTACTGTCTTAGAGTTGTGAGAGACACTAGATTTCCTTCTGTTCTTTGAAATAAAAATGAAGCATAAAAAATGCTGTTTTTAAAAACTGCCTTATAGTGTTTTGGAATATTTTTACTTAAAATGTATTCCTGTAAGTTCTACTCTTGTCTGAGAATATGAGACCATACCCCAGAGCTCCAGAGGCCTCCTGGGGATTCAGCCTGGGAAATTTAAAGTGATGTCTTAGACTGTATAATTCTATACATTTATTTAGTGAGTTAGGAATAAGTTCTTAAAAAATAGCCTGTGTTTAGAGTTGATATCATAAAGATTGACATTTATTTTTTATTTAAAAAAATTTTTTTGAGACAGGGTCTCACTATGTAGTTCAGGCTGTCCTTCAACTTACTGTATAGCCCAGGCTGACCTTGAACTCACTGTACAGCCCAGGTTGACTTTGAACTCACTGTGTAGCCCAGGCTGGCCTTGAATTCACAGTGATCCTCCTGCCTCAGCCTCCTGAGTGCTGGGATTACAGAAGTACATGACCATGCCTGGCTAAAAGTTTTAAATGTGGTATGAGATTTAAGATTTAATTTGTCTCTAAGAATGCATGCTTGATCTTCTTGAAATATAAACAAGTCATGATGTTTATGCTTGAGAGTTGGAGAACTATAATAAAAATAGAAACATAAAATTGGTCATAAAAAGTTACAGAGAAAGAGATAGTATCTGTCAGTAGCAAGTATTTTTTAAGCACCTACTGTATGCAAGACTGAACAATTGCTGTGTAAACATTTTGGGACAGAGTTAAATTTTAAAATTTAATGGAAGCTTTGAACCCTGTACTCGGTAGAGATAAGCACGTTCTAGGCAGCGGGTTCCTTAGAATGGGAGGTCCTCAGGGTCTCCATGCGGGGTCAGCTGAAAAGCGTGCATTCAGATGCCCGTTTCTCTCGGAGTGGCAGCCATCTCGGCACCTCAGAGATGCAGAGTGCACAGGTGGTGCTAACCAGGAGTTTGTGCATTAAAGGAGACACCGCAGTGTTAGGGAAAGCCTGGCTTCTGTCCGCAAGTTTGTTCTTTTGTTTCCCTTTCTTGTCAGCTCTTACCTTGTTTTTTAAAGATGCTTGTTGAAATTTGGGGGAAATTTTTTTATAAACATGGCTTATCAAGCTTATAGTTTCTTATTTCTGACATTACCAAGAAATTGCTCCCAAGGAGCTATTTATTTTTCAGTTTGCAAAATTTAATATGGTGTTTAAATTCTCAACCTTTACTTTGTCTAAACTCTAAATATAGAAGCAGGTTCTTATAAATGACCCTGAATCATTTCCTCTCAGTTTATTTGCGTTAAGCATCTCTTAAAATGGAAAAAAGAGAAAGAACATTTACAAAACCTTAATTTTGTTTCTCCTTTTATTTTGCAGATGTCCATGGCAACGTTGAAAATGAACTGCTTATTTTCTGCAGATCCTCTTCTATGAGAAGATCCCGCTCAGGCGTTTGCATATTTTTCCTTCTGCCGGACAGCATGGCAGGCTTCAAGCGGGGCTATGACGGGAAGATCGCGGGCTTGTATGATCTGGATAAGACCTTGGGTCGGGGTCACTTTGCAGTGGTGAAGCTTGCCAGGCATGTCTTCACGGGGGAGAAGGTGGCAGTCAAAGTTATTGACAAGACAAAACTGGACACTCTAGCCACCGGACACCTGTTCCAGGAGGTGAGATGCATGAAACTCGTGCAGCACCCTAACATCGTGCGCCTGTATGAGGTGATTGACACCCAGACCAAACTCTATCTTATTCTAGAACTTGGAGATGGAGGAGATATGTTTGATTACATCATGAAACACGAGGAGGGTCTCAATGAAGACTTGGCCAAGAAGTACTTTGCTCAAATAGTTCATGCTATATCTTACTGCCATAAACTCCATGTGGTTCACAGAGACTTAAAACCGGAGAATGTGGTTTTCTTCGAGAAACAAGGTCTTGTGAAGTTGACAGACTTTGGTTTCAGCAACAAATTTCAACCAGGGAAGAAGCTCACAACAAGCTGTGGATCTCTGGCATATTCAGCTCCAGAAATTCTGCTTGGTGACGAGTACGATGCCCCTGCTGTAGGTAGGTGACCTGTGTCTGGTCTCTGCCTCATTGATTCCTTCCAGCCAGCTAACCTTATAGATTGTCAGTTTGTTACCGATGAGGATTTCCCTTCACTGCACCTCACCTAACTGCAGACCCCAGAGGCTGGTAGTTTATTCCAGCCTTTCAGTGGCAAAGGCCCAGAGTGTATAGGCCAAGGAAAAATGAGTCCGTGGTTGTGTAGTTTTTTCCTTAAGCTCTGAGTTCTTTTCCTGTCTTCTTAGATTTTTTTTTTGCCACTAATAGCCTAGCCATCCCTGTGGAATGAGTGTTTGAGCCTCCAGTGGCCACACTGTCGGGTCATTAGGAGTATTTCAGTGCATTGCTGAGAATGTAAGTGTTGGAGTCACATATTGTGACTTGAAGCAGGTATTTGACCTCTTTGAGCTTCATGTCTTCATCCGTAAAATGGGACAAGTCAGATGCAGCCTGGCATTCCCAGTGACCGTGTGGCGGTTACCACCCATCTCCTGGTTTAGCATAGGAGTCTGAGTGCCGAGGCCTGCAATGTGTTGGTTCCAGACGGGGCAGCCCCTGGCTCTCGCTCCCTTTGTGCGCTCAAGTGTGTCACTGACCTCCTGTGGAGGACGTGTGCAGGCTTCTCAGGTCTGGTCAGCTTTTTCCCCTTGGCAGCATGTCTGTTTCATGTGGGAAGTTATTTTTAGTTTGTTAGGATTTGTTCATCTGAAGATGTAATCTGCTTTTTTAGTGTTTTAGTTTAATATTAGGAAAGTTTAGTGCAAAGTTGCAGACAAGTAAATCAAAATTTGTGCCTGCCCATTGCATCCTGGTTATTTGAAGCGCAGCTTAAAGAACGCTGATGACAGAGGAACATTAGGAGCCCTGGTGGTACACTGCACATTCCCAGCATGAGGCTCCCTGACCCTCATGTAGACACTCAGGGTTTCTGCCCCTGCAGATGTCCAGGCTCCATGAGTCTGTGATTAGAATATCTGAGCTTGAGATGTTTTGTTAGTGGAGCTGCTCCAGTCAGAAAACGAAGGCAGGGATCCACAGAAGAAACAGAGCCGTGAGTGCAAAGACCTCCAGCCTCATCAATACCGGGAAAAGCAAACTAAAACCATAATAAGACAGTTTCATAATTTGCATGTGGAGAGAAACTAAAGGCAGACAAAGCTGAGCATTACTATGTAGAATGCTAAGCACTTGCATAACTGAGAAAGCAGCTCGGCAGGGTTTAGTAAAGAACTGGGTGTGTTGCTGCGCTCCTGTAATCCCAGCACTCGGGAAGCTGAGGCAGAAGGATCACTGCAAGTTGTAGGTCAGCCTGAGCTACACAGTGAGACGCTGTCTCAAGCCCTCTCCTCCAAAAAGAAAAATGTGGTCTTGTGATTCAGCAGTTCTCCTATCATTCAAGAGATTTTTCAAAGGATGTTTTAATGTACTCGTGGTGTTGGCATCAGCAAGGGGACAGATCCTACCATGTAAGAGTTCAGAACACATCAAACAGTGTGGCATTACTCTGTGGCACGTGTTTGCGGCGGACTAAGGCACATGCCAGCAGAGGACAGGTTACCTCGAGGCAGGGGCCCAGCAGGGTTTCTGCCCTGCTGAGGATGCCCGCTGGGTAGTGCAAACACGAATTTGTTGTAGTTTTTTCTTGTGCCTTAAATATTGTGTAATAAAACATTTTTAAAAATCATAAAAAGGAGAACAAAATTGTTCAGGAGAATGTTTCAAAAGAAAATGTTTGAGGGCCAGGGGTTCAGCTCAGCAGCAGAGCACCTGCCTGGAAAGTTCAGGGTCGCGAGTTCCATCCTCGCTACCGTAAAAAACAATAAATAAATAAAAAGAAAATCGTTTGAGAGGATCTACTAATATCTTTGTGAAGTTGGGTAGAGTTCATAGCTAATTTTTTCACTTTTGCAATTTATATTTCAGTTCATTTTGTGAGATAGTGTGATTAAATATGAAAAGCAGATAGGTAATTAATTTTTCTATTAATATACTTTTTGTTTATTGTGCCAAAATCATTTGATGATTTTCCACAAAATCTTAGCAAAGTAAGTGTGGCCAAAAATTAAAATCTGCGATTATATTCAATTACCATATGTTACTAAATAAAAAGACTTTGGTCTTTTATTTACTATTTTAAAGGACCAAGTCCTTTATTTGGGGTTTATAAGTTTTATGGTATAGTGGTCCTTAGCATTGAGATTTAGCTCAGGAATCATCTTTGTTATTGTTTTTAAAGATTCAAATTTGATTTTACTCGTAAACTGCATTTTTTGCTTCCAATGTTACTGTTTTCTCTTTCATCCGTATTCTTTCTAGGATCTAGTTTCTTTTCCTTCCCTCTGCTTTGCTCTTCTCCTCCTTCCCCGCCCTCCCTCTTCCCTTTCCTCATTCCCTTTTCTTCTGTAGGGTTTTGGCCTCAGCAACCCTGGTCGCCCCTTTCTGGTCTCTGGGACCCCTTGTTTTCCCTCTGTCACCACAGCGCTTTGCTTTCCTGTTTAACCCAAGTTAGTTAGAAAGGTTTCTTTTTGTCATTCTCTATTAAGGGGTCCGTCCATCTTTGCCTTTAGTTCTGGTTTTTAGTATCTTAATTCTGGTTTATTGAAGTCAATAGATTTCTACTTTGGGATTTCTACTCAGGGCAGTTGATTTCTACTTTTGGAAACACTTTTGTATTTTCTTTGTGTCTTAGTATACTACATTTTACCATGGTGACTGCTACCATAAAGTTTCTGTATTTTTGGCGCATTCATAGTTTTGTACATGATTATATTAATCATTATGTAGTTATATTATATTATTATTATTCATTATGTAATTATATTATATTATTCATTATATTATTCATTATGTAATTTCTTTTGTATCTTATGCTTTGTCAGAGGAAACTGCTGGTCTGTCACTCTGACATGTAATTTTGTGTGATAGTCTTTATTTTCAAGCTAAAGCTTTACTTTTATCTTAAGTCGCTATAGTTTTTACCAACATGAAGCTTCTTGTTTGATGTTTCACTGTTCTTCACCTTTATTTTGTCATTGTTTGAGGTTTGTCTTTTCACTTAGCAGTAAGGCTCCCTTGGCTGTGATACTGCTACTGCATAGAGCTCGGTTTCTTTTAAAAGTGGAGCTGTGTTTCACTAAATGTGAGTCTTTTAATAGGTGAATCCAATGCATTCATATTTATTATTACTGGAATATGTATTCATTATACAATTTATTATAATTTATGAATTTACTATATTTTTATAATACATGAATTATTACTGGAATATTTGTTCCATTTACCTCATTTTGTATTGTATTTCTCAGAGTTTGTTAATTATCCTAATTTTCTTCACTGCTCTCGCAGTTTGTAAAGTAGACAGTCTGTCTTTCTCAGTCTGCCCTTCATGTCCAGAGTCCATCACTGTTCATACTATTTCTACTACTAATGATGAAGATACAAATCATAACTGATTTGCTTTTATTTGTATTATTATGTACTTTAGTTTTATAAATTTCTTCTCCCTATCCTCCATTGAATTATTTTTGCTTTGTTTTGTTTATATCTTTCTAGAAAGAATTTGTGAAAAAAATCTCTAGGTCCTCGTGGGCCTAAAAATATTCTCATTTTCTTTCCCAACTTTGAAGATACATTTTTCACAGATGTTTTTTTGTTTCATTTTTGCTCCCAAAGCTACGAGAGAGAAGTCAAAGCAGACACTCATTTTCTGCATTTTGTTTACCCTTGTGTGTGTGCCTTACTGCCTGTTGGTTCTCATCCTCCTAGGAGATGGGGGCATGGGTGGTCACTGACCTGTGTTTGGAGATCCCTGATAGCCCTTCTGGGGGCTGTGGAGTTTTGTTATCGCCTCCAGTGGGTCCTGGCCTGGGCTGTGTGGTCTGCTGGGAAGTCCCAGGTCTGTTCTTGCTGATGGGCAGGCTCTGCCCTCCCTGGCTGCTCTCCTGGGTGCCCCTGCTGCTGGGGCCCAGTAGGTCTCGACTCCGGTGGAGCCGGGAGGTGGGAGGAAGAGGCCTCTCGTGTCCTCTGATAATGGTCAGCCGGCCGTGCCTTCTACAGTGCAGCAGCAAGGGTGGGCCTCCAGCAGTAAAGCTGAAGTTTCCTGCCTCGGTCTGATCCCACCCATGCCGTCCTCCCATCACTGTGTCTGTGTGCAGGGATTGGGGGAATGGGGGTGCACATCCTGCTCAGGAGTGTCGTCCAGTCGTGCTGGGCGGGTCCAGGGATCTGGATTCAGCAGCTGCCTTCAGTGTTGGAAACAAACAGAAGACCTGTGTGAAGAGTCCCAGAACCTGGTGCTGGACTTGGAGCCTCACAGATAGAAGGCAGCGCTGAGGAGGAGCTAGGTCTGGCTGGAGTTCTCTGAGCCCCTAAGTTTGTGCCTAAGGGATCTTGCACAGCAGTGCTTAGGAGAGCACACTGTTCTCAGAACATGATCTGTGCTTTCAGAATGTCTTTATTATAGAAATGCTAAAATGGGAAAACTACATCTTAGATCACAGATTGACAGTTTTTCGATAGTTTTAAAACTTAACATGGTCTGTGACTTTTTTCTACTTCTCTAAAATTTTATCTTCATGTTAAAATGAATCAAGCTCAGTACTGAGCCCCGCGGTGAAGCACTTGAGATTTGGACTCTTTCTAGACCATCGCAGCACTGACCTGACAACTCCGCGTGGTGCCTACGTAGGGAGAGCGCTCGCCTTAGCGCGCTGTCTCTGTCCTGCGTGACTTTGGGGCCACCATTTATGCAGCAGATGGCATTGAAGCCTCGCTTACTTAGAGCGTGGCTCTGTATTAGTGCAGCACAAGGATCAGGTTTAGTTTACTTGTATGTGGCTTTTTAGGAAATAAAAAGCCTGCAGGTTGCCCACGCTATGTATCATATTTGCGGGTCAGAGAAGCCTCAAGGAACATTATCCAGTCCCGGGAGGGTGTCTTTATGCTTGTTAGTGTACAGAAACTTGAGTTCTTCCCTTCATAAATCTATAAGCTGCCCTGCA